GCTACTACTTTCTAACATTTAAGAACGAAATCAAAGAAATAATAAGACAAGTCATTAATGTTTGAAAACAATGACACTGCTGTGGTTTATAAAACAGAACTAGTCATCCACAGAGTGGCTGGTGTGGAAATAGCACCTCCCCACATAATACTTTAAACATATGCTGTCAAGTCTATGAAAAATCGATTTAGTGATCCCATCAGTACTTGCTGGAAAACCAAAAACCAAACAGTACTCCCACAGGGCACATTTAAATGGAATAATCATTATTAAAATGTCAGTCCTTTCTTCTCGACTCCTCTGTGTATGCACTTCACTAACAGCTGGGAAACAATATGCTGCCCCCGACTGGAAAGGAGTAATATATTCAGATCGGTGAGCAGCACAGCCGCCAATCCTTATGAATGTTGTCTCAATTCTCATGATTACAGACAACTGTTTTAAGGTGACCATAACAGGGTATACGATTAACGCTGACAGTAAGATGTGTAACATGACTCAAGTATTGACTTTCTTAGTTGAAGTTACGCTTGGATATTTGTTAGAATATACCTTTATATATTCTTCCAGTTGCATTCTGTGAGCATGCATTCTAATTTACCAGATATACTGAACACTGTACTTGCCTAAATCAGTGTAATCTTGAGGGTAAAAGGCTATCTCTTGTGGTATGTTTTAATTTTTAAGAGCTTCCTGATCAGTACCTGGTGCCCCCCACAAACACAAAAAGCATGTAAATTTTAGAAAAAAAGGACAAATCAACAACAACAACAACAACAACAAAGACAGAGTGCAGACCAAGCATGTGCCATTTGAGCACCTGCCTCACCGTGGCATCACCATGACCTGTAGTACAGCAAATGACAACGGCCTAGGGAGCCAAAATTCCCAGCTCTGCAAGTTGCTAGCTCAGTGACCTGAGACAAGGCTCCCAAGTACTAGAATGCAAGTTCTGTAGTGAAAGACAATGAGTAGGAAATAGACTCTAAACGCCTGTTTATCTAGAAAGGTTGAGACATCAAATCTAACCACAGAATGAAATAAATATGTAACAGGGGCTGGTTACTGTTCACGGAAAGAGTTTCAAATGCCTGACCTCCCTATTCTTCTGTCCTGTGCACCAGAAGTGGTGCCCTGAAGGAGGCTGTGTTAAACCTGGAGGTATTGGCACTTAACATATTTTATCGATACTTTCTATTTACAGATCCATCTAGGTTAGCCCCTTGCATATTCACAGCATAATGTGAATCCCTATAATCTAATGATGCTTTGTGTCCCATCTGATTTGGCTCACAGAGGATAAGAACAAGGAAGGTGGGGTTTGAAGAAAACATCCTAGAATCATAAACCAGAGTTGGTCAGGTGATTGCTAGGAAATAAATTTCAAAGTTTAAGTCTGAAAAAAGAGAACTGAACTATGGAAGTCCCTTAAGGCCAGAGGAGGTATCTGGACTTGAGAAGGAGGCAGGGAGATCAGCTGGTATGTTCCCAGTGTAATCTGAAATAAATGTAAGGAGAAGCAGGAGTAGTCAGGAGAAAGAGACAGCTCTAGGAGAAGCCATCAAAACAAGAATCAGGGGATCCGAAAAGTCACGTATGTAAAAAGGCGGCACACTTTGTAACCCACAGAAATTTTGTTTTAACTGATTTTGGGTTGGGTTTTAACATTATTAAAAGAACAAAAAAAAAAAAAAGTCTCAAAAAGTTTAGACTTTCACTGATAATCCCTGAAAGGCTTTTCTATGATTTGTCACCCGACTCCCAGAGCCATGCATATGGGACTGCTCTACAAGATTATTACAACACGCAGGTCTGGAGCTCACCCTAGGCAACTCTCCAAGGTTCCACAAGTACAGAGTTCACAGGTTCAACCACTAAGTGGTTTGAACCACAGGGAATAAGTGCACTGTGCTCTAAGCTGCTACGGCTGCCTGTTTTCTTCCAAATGGGACTCAAGGTGCCAAAGTAAGTCATAAGTGGCTTGGGCTCAAGCTGTGTTTTCACCATGTACCTCCAAGGAAAACAAAGTCAGCTGGTGTGCACCTGCCAGAGGTACCAAATGTCTGCAGCAGGAAGCTGGAGCTGCAGTTATTTGTGACCCTGGGGCTTTCCATATAATTGGGTGCCTCTGCTCTTTACTGTAGTAGTGAACAGCTAGCCTTCAGACACCAGTGCAAGACTACTTGTGAGCTGATGTGTATATACACACACTGACAATCCACGCTTTCATGAGATCTAATCTAATTATCTGATGGCTGTTTTTGCATTTGGTCTCACAAGATCTGAGTGTGGAAGCCCCTTTCTCTGGTTTTAGAAATCAAATTGCATTTGGGAGAGAAAAGAGAAAAATGGAGGCAAAACTAGTAAAACGAGACAGACAAAGCTTAGTCAGAAAATTAAAGCTTGGTCAGAAAATGCCTGGCAGTACAGAACGAGGAACACACTTCTCTTTTCAAATTTCACAGCCACAGTCACGGATAATATTTCATTGCTTGGCACAGAACCCAACATTTTACACTTGGACAATAAGCCCTTTCTTCCCCAGGTAATGATGAGCTTGTTCCTGACATAAATGGTCACATGCGGTCACTGAAGGAGGTTTACAGGCCTTTGGGGACTCCAGCTTTTATTAAGAGCAGGTGAGTCACCCTCACTGCCCTCCTCATTGTCCTTTATCCATTTAAACTGTTTAAGATACAAAATTTTCCAAAGTAAAACTTCTGTACCCAGTGTAAATTTGAGGAAATAAACTGTGGGTACTGCAGCAGTGGGTTAAGAATGGCTATCTAGAAGAAATGATTTTCCTCATCTGTCCACTGGCTGCTGCTGTACTCCAGGTTCTAGGGGGAAGAGGGAATGGGGGAGGTGCAGGACACCCTGAAGTCGAATTCTTGAACGGTCGCTTCCTGGCTTCTGGCCCTTGCACGGTTTCCACATTCTTGTGGGTGCTTTTCCTAGTTTCTCTTGATCCACTGCAAGGTGCTTGGGAAAGTAAAGCCTGCTAGGTTTTCAAGGTATACTATCAGACCTATTTACAGAACATTATTCTTTTGGTTTTAATAACCCTGACAGAAACCTGCCACCACAATAAGATTCCTTATGGATTGCCTGCTCTGTGACTCAGAGGCTCAAAATAAAAGTGCCGAGACATCACTGTCAACTGGCCAAATCCCAAGAGGTGGTCGGGGCCAGTTGAGCACCTGCCTTGCTCTCCCCTAAGACTGCTTTTTTTGTCTAATGACCAAACGACTGCAAAACTGAGTGGGACAAAAAGCATTTCGGAGGAGTTCAACATATGTGCATAAGGAAAGTGCAGACTTTTTTTCAGCCAGATTGCTTTTAGGACAGGGTCTGCCTGGTCAACTGCAAACTGCCAACTGAGCCAGACTCCTGGGACAAACCACAGTGTGTGTATGGCCATGATGCTACAAAAACAGTGCAGACGGATGGAATGGAGGAAAAAAACAAAACAAAGCAAACTGAAGGTGACCAATTTTTTTTTTTTTTTAAGTTAAAAAGAGAGCTATGTTTACTTTGGGGAAAATTAACTCACACCATAAAATGTAAAACTACAACTTACAAGTGTTTCCCTTACCTACTAGAACCAAATAACACACATTTTTTCATGATGTAGGACTATACTTTTAGAATTACATTTTATTTTGGTTTAACAACAGCAGAATTGATTCTCAGCTTATTCCAGAGAACATTTTTTTGTCAGATGTAGCTAAATATTTTACATTTTTATATCTGCACTGTGTTCTTGTGCATATAGACCAAAGACTGAATCAAACGTTGTATTCATTGGGACTAATGTTTTTTTTTTTTTTTTTGAGATGGAGTCTCGCTCTGTTGACAGGCTGGAGTGCAGTGGTGCAATCTTAGCTCACTGCAACCTTTGCCTCCCGGGTTCAAGCGATTCTCCTGCCTCGGCCTCCTGAGCAGCTGGGACTACAGGCACATGCCACCACGCCAGGCTAATTTTTGTATTTTTAGAAGAGACTGGGTTTCACCACGTGAAACCACCCTGGGTTTGCCCAGGATGGTCTCGATCTCTTGACCTTGCGATCCACCCGCCTCGGCCTCCCAAAGTGCTAGGATTATAGGAGTGAGCCACTATGCCTGGCCCATTGGTACTAATTTTTAATCAACCTAGAACGTTAGCTGTTCCTGGCTCCAGAAGAACAGAGACTTGGAATGTAAGATTAATGAGAGTGCCATTTTAGGCATTTACCTTTCCCTTTGTTCTGGGCATCTGTTCTAGCGTTTTATTCCCAGTAAGTAATTTTGGCTATAATACAGCATATGTGATTTTCAATAACATAGCATTATACTTCCATTTCCCCCAAAGAAACCCAAACACCAGTCTGATTTTTAAAGTGAACAGCAACAGTGAAAAAACACTTACCTGGAGATAAAAAGGAAGTAAACTGATAGAAGATTTCAGTGTCCTTCTTCTGACCGCTGTACCCCACGATGCTGCCGACCTCAAGCGGGAAGGTCTTAAGGAGAGCACCAGTAGTCAGGTCGTGGAGCTGTAGAATGTTCTTGACATCATGGAGGTAGCATAAGACCAAGAAGTTGGACCTGACACAAGCTACCCATTCTGAAAGGATAAGAAGGAGAAAACACCTAATGCAATTTTAAAAATTAATGAAAACATATTTAATTGAGCAACAGTTCCAGAGCTACACATAGGACTATATGTAGCAATGAGACTTGCAACGTCACTTTTACTTTTTTTTTTTTTTTTGGAGACAGGGTCTTGCTCTGTTGCCCAGGCTGGAGTGCAGTAGTGCAATCTCAGCTCACTGCAACCTCTACCTCCCAGGTTCAAGGGATTTTTCTGCCTCAGCCTCCCAAATGGCTGGGATTACAGATGTGTGCCACCACGCCTGGCTAATTTTCATATTTTTAGTAGACAGGGTTTCACTATCTAGTCCAAACTGGTCTTGAACTCCTGGCCTCAAGAGATCTGCCCGTCTTGACCTCCCGAAGTGTTGAGATTACAGGCGTTTACAGGCGTGAGCCACTGTGCCCAGACTGATAATTGGTTTTAATTATTCATCTAGTTTTCAACACATTCCTTTAATAAATGACTATTTTATTTCCTCGGCCAAGGGCTTTTGATGACCTAGATAATGCCTGGAATAGTAACCCTGCCTTCCTATTTTGTGCCCATTATCATGCTATAGGAGCTATAAGGAGGAAAACAATAAAAGCCAAATCATGGTTCATGTCTGACAGGATTATTAGATAAAAATGTAATAAGCCCTTGTTATCCACCAGATTCCCTGCAAAGTGCTAGAGAGACAAGTAGTAAGATGAGGTCGATTCTGCTCGTGAGACAAAATCATATAAAAATGCAAGTAATAAACCATAAACAAGGGTAAGTGACTGGTTGGTTGAGGATCCAAAACGAATGACAGCCCTAAAGCAAGGGTTGAATTGAGTCTCAAGTACAGGAGTGTGGAGATGGAGGGGAAATGGGGGCTAGCAGGAAAAGCACAGCATCCTATGGGATGAGGTGCAGGAAGATAGGCGACTCCTGGCACGAAGGCCAGAGCCAGGAATGGGGAAAGGAACAGAAAGGACAGACTGTTTAAGATACAAAATTTTCCAAAGTAAAACTTCTGTACCCAGTGTAAATTTGAGGAAATAAACTGTGGGTACTGCAGCAGTGGGTTAAGAATGGCTATCTAGAAGAAATGATTTTCCTCATCTGTCCACTGGCTGCTGCTGTACTCCAGGTTCTAGGGGGAAGAGGGAATGGGGGAGGTGCAGGACACCCTGAAGTCGAATTCTTGAACGGTCGCTTCCTGGCTTCTGGCCCTTGCATGGTTTCCACATTCTTGTGGGTGCTTTTCCTAGTTTCTCTTGATCCACTGCAAGGTGCTTGGGAAAGTAAAGCCTGCTAGGTTTTCAAGGTATACTATCAGACCTATTTACAGAACATTATTCTTTTGGTTTTAATAACCCTGACAGAAACCTGCCACCACAATAAGATTCCTTATGGATTGCCTGCTCTGTGACTCAGAGGCTCAAAATAAAAGTGCCGAGACATCACTGTCAACTGGCCAAATCCCAAGAGGCCGTCGGGGCCAGTTGAGCACCTGCCTTGCTCTCCCCTAAGACTGCTTTTTTTGTCTAATGACCAAACGACTGCAAAACTGAGTGGGACAAAAAGCACTTCGGAGGAGTACAACATATGTACATAAGGAAAGTGCAGACTTTTTTCCAGCCAGATTGCTTTTAGGACAGGGTCTGCCTGGTCAACTGCAAACTGCCAACTGAGCCAGACTCCTGGGACAAACCACAGTGTGTGTATGGCCA